GATGGATGGACGGACGGATGGACATGGGGATGGATGGATGGATGGATGGATGGATGGACGGGGGGACGGGTGTGGGGATGGATGGACACAGGGACTTGAAGATGGATAGACATGGGGATGGATGGATGGATGGGTGGACGTGGGGATGGATGGATGGATGGATGGATGGATGGACGGACATGGGGACATGGGGATGGACAGATGGATGGATGGATGGACGGGGAGACGGTGGATGGATGTGGGGACATGGGGGTGGATGTGGGGACGTGGAGATGGATGGGTGGATGGACACAGGGACATGGGAACGGTGGATGGATGGATGGATGGATGGATGGATGGATGGATGGATGGATGGATGGACATGGGGACATGGGGATGGATGGATGGACGGACAGATGGATGGAAGGGGGGTGGACGGACAGGGGGACGTGGGGGGGGATGGGTGGGTGGGGGAGGATGGACATGGGGACTAGAAGATGGATAGACATGGGGGTGGATGGATGGGTGGGTGAACGTGGTAATGGATGGATGGATGGACATGGGGACATGGGGATGGATGGATGGATGGATGGACGGACGGACGGGGAGACAGGATGGATGGATGTGGGGACATGGGGGTGGATGGACACAGGGACATGGGAACGGATGGATGGGGATGGATGGATGGATGAATGGATGGATGGATGGATGGACGGACAGACATCGGGACATGGGGACATGGGGATGGATGGATGGATGGACGGACGGACATGGGGTGGACGGACAGGGGGACGTGGGGGTGGATGGGTGGGTGGGGGTGGGGATGGATGGACAAGCGGACTTGAAGATGGATAGACATGGGGATGGATGGATGGGTGCGTGGACGGATGGATGGATGGATGGACAGACACAGGGACGTGGGGACATGGGGATGGAGGGATGGATGGATGGATGGACATGGGGACATGGGGACGGATGGACATGGGGACATGGAGTTGGATGAGTGGGCGGGTGGGTGGGTGGATGGATGGACGGACATGGGGATGGACGGATGGATGGATGGACATGGGGGACATGGGGATGGATGGGTGGGTGGGTGGGTGGACGGACGGACATGGGAATGGATGGATGGACGGACGGACGGACATGGGGGTGGATGGATGGACATGGGGACATGGAGCTAGATGAGTGGGTGGGTGGGTGGATGGATGGACACAGGGACATGGGGATGGATGGATGGATGGATGGATGGACATGGAGACATGGAGATGGATGAGTGAGTGGGTGGGTGGATGGATGGACGGACATGGGGATGGATGGACGTGGGGATGGATGGATGGATGGACGGACATGGGGACACGGAGGTAAATGGATGGATGAACGGACAGAGGGACAGATGACCGAGAGAAGGACAGACACACGGTGTTCGGGTTTCGGGGCGGCCGCTCCCGGCGCTGTTTTCCCCGCGCGGTTCCGGCTGTACATAAACATGAAGAGCTTCGCTTCGGTCCCGCGACTCGCGCTCCATTCATTGACGCGGCCGCGCCGGGAGCCGAAAACGGCCGCGTCCTCCGCGCCACTGACGTCATCACGGCGCGCCGCGCGCAGCCCCGCCCATCGCTAACGTCATCGCGGCGCGCCGTCAGCGCTGCATTCCCGCCGATTCCTGACGTCATCACAATGCGCGGAGATGCGGGGGGGTGGGCGCCCGCCGTTTTCGTGACGTCATCAGAACGCGGCGGGCAGAGCGCCCCGCCGAACGGCCGTCCTTGACTTCATGGTAGCGCCGTTCTCTTCCCGTCCCGTCCCTGACGTCATCACAGCGCGCCAGGGGCAGGGAATCATAGACGCATAGAATCTAACAGCAGAGTTCCGCGGTTTCGGCCGCTCCAGGCGTCCCCGCACCGCCGCCGGTCGGTCTGTCGGTCGGTCGGTCCCCTCCCACGCCGTGACGCCATCCGGGCACCCAGCGCCGACCTCACAGAGCCCGCCTCCTCGTGACGTCATCACAAGGCGCCGCACGCGAAGCAGGCCGCCCACCGCCCCGCCCCTGACGTCATCACAGCGCGCCGCGCTCCGAACACAGCGACCGCCTCCGATTTGACGTCATCACTCCGCGCCGTCGCGTCCCTCTCGACGTCACTTCCGGGGGGCGGAACCCGGCGGCGTCCCCGCGACCTCAGCGCTGCGGCGATGGCGGCGGCGGTGGGAGCGGCGGCGGGGCGGCGTTTCCCTCTGCGACCCAGCGGGCGCTTCCTGCTGAGCCCGAGGCCTCGGCCGGCGCCGCAGGGGGTGAGAGCGGGGCCGGAACCGGGATCGGAACCGGCGGGGGGGTGGCGGCCCGGTGCCCTCATTGACCCCCCCTCCGTTCTTTTAACCCCGCAGGCCCGACCGGCGTCGTTCTCCGCGCAGCCCCGGAGCCGCCTGAGGCTGCTGGCAGCGCTGGGGGCGCTGACGGCGGGAGGGGCGGCCGCGGCCGTAGCGCTGAGAGCGGCGGTGGACGCGGGGGAGTTGGAGCTGCACCCCCCCGCCTTCCCGTGGAGCCACGGGGGGCCGCTGGCGGCGTTGGACCACGACAGGTGCGGGGTCGGAGGGGGGGGTGGGGGAACTGAGGGACCCCCCCCTCGTG